TGCGGCCAAACTATTGGTGTTCGACCAATTTACGAACGTTGCTTTGCCCAACCAACGACGACGTTCTCATAGGAAGAATTCTCCAGAGACTGAATATCCTGGGGTCACTATCAATGTGATCAGCAGAGGGAAAGCATCAGGTCCTAGTTCCGACGACTCTGAGATAAGTCGTTCACCGACCGTCAGAGAAATCACTAATGAGTTTGAAGGAGTCTACCAACGCACTCGGACACGAACATGAACCATTCTCCCTATCAACTATCGGAGGTTAGCCAGAGGAACTAATTCCGATGATGAACACTCAGCCATTGCGGAGTCTCAATCATCAAGCTCTTTCATTGGGCATGAGAGTTTCACCCACATGGCAGAACATTCTGAAGATCTTTCAAAGAGGGTTGCTGAGCAAGACGCCATACTCAAATTATAGCAGAAGACCCTCAATGAACTCCTAGACCTGTTGACTCAACTCGTCGCAGACAAGGCTAAATCTCAGAAGACAGATTCGCCACCTAGGCAAAAATCCTCCCGGAGAGGAAAAACGTCTTCATCCCGACCTCACACAAGCAAAGGGAAGGGAAAAGTGGTTGATGATGCGGCTTCTGACCAAGAAGCCCACAACCTGGAATCTTCCTCTGATGAAGGAAGAGAGATGGGGAACGAGCAAAATCTCCAGTCTGTCAAAATGGAAGAATTGGAAGCCCGCCTCAATGTCATTGCCAACAGAAGCGAGCTCCAAGAGGGGGGAGTTGTCAGACCCTATCCTGCCGAATGGGATGCAACCCCTTATCCTCCAAAATTCGAGGTCCCGACACTACAAACTTTTGACGGCACGGGATCACCGAACCAACATATCTATCATTTCAAATCACAGACTGGAAATATCACCGAACCAACATATCTATCATTTCAAATCACAGACTGGAAATGTGATATCAAACGACGCTATATTGGCTCGATTGTTCATTGGCACCCTAAAGGGAGTTGCCTTTGAATGGTTCAGGAAACTACCTGCCGGATGTATCCAAAGGTGGGCAGATTTAGAGAGATTCTTCCTGTCAAGATTCTTTGAAGAGGATACAGAAGTCTTCATCCATACCCTCCTCGCCACTAAGCAAAAGAAGAGGGAGTCCGTCAAAGCTTTCGTCAAGAGGTTCCGAAGCATGGCTCTTCGATGCCCGACAGGTATGACACAGTCTACCTTAGTAGAGACTTGTCGACACAACTTGCAGACCGACCTTCTAGCACAAATGAGGGTGGCAGAATGCCGTTCTTGGAGACAACTAATCTCTCAAGGCGAACAGGCTCAAAAGATTATTGCCAGGATCAAAGCTGAAGAACAAAGTATGCAGGATCAACCTGAGCAATCGGACCAAGCCCAATCTTCTCAGTCAGAAGAAGAAGATACTACGACCACTGGAGCCAATCCTCTTTAGTAGGATGGTAGGTCCACCAAAACTATCACGTTAACCGTCACCTCTGATAGTCCTTTGCCTCCAAATTCTTCCACTAATCCTCTTCAAGTAGGATGGCGGGTCCACCAAAACTATCACGTTAACCGTCACCTCTGATAGTCTTCAAGTAGGATGGCGGGTCCACCAAAACTATCACGTTAACCGTCACCTCTGATAGTCCTTTGCCTCCGAATTCTCCCACTAATCCTCTTCAAGTAGGATGGCGAGTCCACCAAAACTATCACGTTAACCGTTACCTCTGATAGTCCTTTTCCTCTAAATTCCCCCACCAATCCTCTTCAAGTAGGATGGCGGGTCCACAAAACAATCACGTTAACAGTTACCTCTGATAGTCAAACTTATCAGATAATGGCCTACCAGGTGATGTGCCTCTATTCCCACTTCATGAATAGTGCCCCACTAGGTGATGTGCCTTGTCTACCTCTTTTTATTCCCCTGCTAAGTCTTAATTAAGACTGGGGGTTGGTTACTTGGAATCCATTGGATTAAGAGTAATAAATCTTTCACATCGTCAAGTTAACATTACACTTCTGACGATCATCACCCCACAGAGTATGAATGCAGCTTGCATCACTCCTAATTTGTCACGTTAACAATACACCTCTGACAATCAACTTATCAAGCCTTGCCAATAGGATGATAAGTCCTCAAAATTACTCAAATCGCAATCTTCCCCAGCAAGACACT